CGATTAATTGCCGCCCTTGCTCGATCGTATCTTACGAACGAACGTGGCGATCGATCGCTCGCTCGAGAGGCGACTTCGTCTGCCTCAAAGACGAGAAACGGCGGACGAGAGCCGGCGAGAGTAGCAGCCGGAGGATAGGAAAAATCTCGACGGCGGAGGCTGGGAGGGGCGAGGAGAGGAACAGGATACGACGCGGGTGGCTGGCGATGGAAGTTCGAATTTCCGTCTTCGATAGCTTGCGAGCGACACGATCGCGCGGAAAATCCTGCGAATATTACTCGAAGCTAAGAATTCACGACGTGTCTTGAACGCGTCTAGGACGTCCTGAGACGTCCTGAGACAGGACGCTGCGTGGCGATGACGGATCTACGTTGAAGTATTCGTGGAAACGTGCACGAGGTCGTAGGAGACAATGGTCGACTTCCCCCAGCGATTTTCGGATGCGATCGTCCAGAGTGACTTTTTCAGAGCCATTCGAGACCTCCGGCGGACTTTCTCTCTCTCCCTCTCCCTCTCCCTCTCTCTCTCTCTCTCTCTCTCTCTCTCTCTCTCTCTCTCTCTCTCTCTCTTTCTCTCTCCCTCTCTCTCTCTCAAGAAGCTCCGATTTTGAGTGGTGCTCGAGACCCTCGTGGTACGTGCGCCTCGAGCCAGTCGCTAATCGCGGATGTCACGAGAGACGAATCGCGCCGGCGAGAACTGGAATTACGCGCGCACCCGCATAAAACCTCGCAATAATGAGCTTTTAATAGCCGGTCAGGCCGACGGGCGGAGAGACGACGGCGTATGCTAATGATACGGCTCAATTAGCCGGCCGTACAAAGTCGAGTCGGTCAGGCGGTGGCAGGAGGGAGGGAGAGGCGGAGGAGGGGGGAAAGGAAAAGAAAACATTGCGCAACCCGGAGAGCCGAGAACCCGCGCGGCCGGATATGATCTAAAAGCTCCTGATTTAAAGACTACCCTCCGCTCGGCGGGAACGCGCACTTTCTGCTTCTTCTGGTCCTCCTTTTTTTTACCTCCGCCGTTTCCCCCCGCCTCAATAAATTGCGTTTCTCGTTCTTCCTTTACGCTCGGTTAATAATAAGCCGATGTCTCTTTCTCGCTCGCGCTTTCCCCTCCTTCTCCCTCTCTCTCTTTCTCGATCTCTCCCCTCGTCCTCCCTCGCCCCCTCGCTGTGCATCTGTAAAATTACAAGCTGGAAGGACCTTAGCGCCTCAAGGTGTAATAAAATTCACTCACTCGCCTCGCCCATTCGCTCGTGCGCCCACTCATTTGCCCCGAACCCTCTCTCCCTTTTGCATACCCGCGCGCGTTTCGTCGTCTCGCCGACGACGAGCAAGTCGTCGGAGCCGGAGTGCGCGCGCGAAGCGCGCCAAGTTTATCCTCTCGTGAGAAAATTCCGCCGAGCGCGAGCAGGTAAGTTTCCGCGCTTGACATTCTTCCGACGCGGAAGCGGTCGAAGCGTCGAAGCCGAGTGCGCGCGGGTCGATATCACGGCTTTCTCGTTCTCTTTCCGGCTTTCCGCTCTCTTTCAGTTTCTCCCTCCCTTTCTCCCCTCCCTCCTCTCCCTGCCGCTCCGCGTCGTGTACATGCGGGATAATCGCGCGCGCGCGCGCTGCGCGCCACGACACGGTGTCGCACCGCTTGATCTCTCATCTATAATTGCCGTGATTGTTGCGCGATCACGTAACCTGATCTACGCGGCAGGACCGACCAACCCATTATACACGCGTCCGTGTGTGTGTGTGTGTGTGCGCGCGCGCATGCACGCGCACGTGCACTAGGTTTTATTTGCCGAGCGGCAAAAAATTGATTGTGTCGCGTCGCGAGTCCACGCGCGCGTTGCGGCGTAGAATTGTGCGATAACGCTCGCCGACTGATAATCGCGTTTTTCTCGCTCTCGCAGCACGCGCGCGCGCTCTCGATCGATTTTCTCGTTTTCCCGCGACACGATGGGCAAAACTTTGCACAAACGTCCGCCGCGCGCGAGGAGGACCCGCTAGGAGGGCACGCTTCGCGAACGTTAATAATTCAAGCCGGAGCGCTCGTCAGCTGCTCGTCAACGTGATATTTATTACCTCGTCGAAGTGGGGAAGCGAAGCGCGCGCGACGGACTTCCTTCGGTAAACTCCGAGAGAGGCGGGCGACTCGAGAAGCCCGGTCGTGCGCCGGCGCGAAGCTTTCGTCAGCGTCTCGCGAGGAGCCCGCGCTGAATATTAATTTTCTACTTTATTATATCGGCGCGTCTAGCTGCGCGATAAAAACCGGTTTCCGGTGAGCAAAGTCGCGGAAATGGATCCGGCTCGTTCGCCCCGGCGGCGGACCTTACCGGGGTCGTTTGCGTTTACGGTTATGTGTGCATCAGCGGCACGTGCACGCGGACAAGTAGAGACCGAGAGGAGGGAGGGAGGGAGGGAGGGAGAGAGAGAGAGAGAGAGAGAGAGAGAGAGGAGAGGCGTGCGAACGGTCACTTCTCGGGCGCAAACAGGTCGACTTAACGACCGGTAATCGGTTTCTCTCGTAGCGCGCGGGCGCGTCGCTCGACGCGGTCGTTAGGACTCGCGCGTCGACAAAAAGTTTAATGATCGCGAAAAAATGGCATTAACGATCCCTCCGGCCAGCCGTAGTCTCGTTACCGCCGTCGCCTTTTTCCCGCGAGAGGAGCTCGTCGAAGGTCGGCCACGCAGGCGAGCCGGCGAGAGAAAAAGGAGCGGGAAAACGGGAAAATGATCATATCGGGTAGCGGCCGATCGCGCGCGGATTTGCCGGGGACCGGTCGAAATTTCGACCGCGCGTTAATCTCCGCCGCAAATTCCACGTCGAACTTGAAATATCGATCGCCCACAGGCGCAGCAAACGCTGCTGGCGAAACAGCTAGCGTCGTCCTGCCCCTCTCCCCTTCTCCACGCCACTTCGGCGGTGACTTACCGCCGCGTTTTTCCGCGTCGAGACTCGAAGCGGAATCCGTCGAATCCTGGGGAGTATTTTTAGGAAGTTCCGATGTTGCACTTGACACTCGATAATCCCGATATCCCGTCGGCGTCAAAATAACGCATGTGGAGTTTCGAAAGTCTTTCGAAAGTCACAAACACAACGCATCGATCGACCGATTCGGGTGATAATAGTGGAATTAAAATAGCGGGTGAATGAAACAAATTTTCCGCGTTTTCGCAATCTCTTTATTGTTTCTCTCGGGGTTGAAAAACATTTTTCGGTGCGATGCTGGGATGCACCGAAAGAGGTGAGAGCCGCGATACCGATACGGCAAGCTGGCTGAAAAGGGACGGGGAAAAAAATGACATCCTCTCTCGTGAGACTCGAGCTGGCGTTCGTAGTCCAAATCGATCTTGTATGCTGCCATCGATTGGGAGCGCAATTTATTAATCCCGCTCGTGGATCATTATTCAGCTGCTCCGATTGATATTACCTGTCGCGCGAACGCTAAAGTTAAAGAATAATCAAAGATACATAAAGCTGCGACTTATTTATCAAACGACGGCGAGCCGCGAGAGCTGCTGGTCTCCGAGCGGACTTCAAATTTTGAACCGAGCGCTTCTTGATTCTCGACGAATCGCTCGCTGTTCGGAGATCGCTGGAATTCCGTGCGGTGAATAATTCGACCGGAGACGCGCGATGCATCGGCGGCCACGTGCTCCTGCTCCTGCCTTGGCTCCTGACTGGTTCATGGTCCTGGCGTAACACGCAGTCGCGTGTTAGCTGACGCGGTATCCGACGAAATATCGCAATCAGTCGAATAGGCGGGAGAAATGAATAACAGGACGCGTCATAAACATATGCGTCGCTCGTCGATCCGAGACTCGGTCGCGGAAAAGTACGCGGCGGCAAAATGATCGGCAAGAAACGCGCGTTCCTCAACACACGTTAGTCGCTCGCTGATCGACGTTTGCCGTCGAGTGTTTGGCCACGAGACCGGAATTGCCGCCATTGCGACAGAACACGCAAGGTGCGGTTCCATTTCAGGTTGTAATTTCCACTTTCGCACCTGCTTTGAACCCTCAAATCTTATCGAGACGATTTCCCGTCGTCGCCGAAAGAAGACGATAGTCGAGGCTGTGAGGGAAGAAAGTTTGTGGCTTTATTCGCTCATTTTCTCACTGATCTTCATCTGACCGCCTGATGGTTGCTCGTTGAATTTATCTGCAGTGACGTCACGTAATCGATATACATCGCTCGTTGAAATTAACGAGGAAAAATACAGTCTACTGAAATGACCAAATATTTCGCAAGTTTCCGGTCTCTCAAGTTTATCTCGACAGAGTCGCTCGTTGCGACTCGCAAAGAACGACACGGTTGCTTCTCCGACTCGGCCGGAATTTGCAGGGTGAATGCGGAAACGACACTTTTACTCGGGACCGCTGGTAATAATTATCCGAATACTTACTCGTCCGACGGCCTTCCGATCCACACACACACACACACACACACACGTCCGTCGCTTCGTGATAGCAACATCCGCTCGGATTATTTCACCGTGAAATCCTCGAGGGAGAAAATCAAGAGTAATATTTCGCCGCACATCTGACGTCCCGTGCGGTGTGCGCGACATTTCGCCGTTCGAACTGAAATTCTCAAATCGGCTCTCAGAGAGGGAGCGGAAATCGCATGCCGCGGAATCAACTTTGAAGTTTATTTAATCCTGGCTCGCTCAGGACGATCGTGCACTTGTCGCACGATGCAACTCGATCGCCGTCGAGAGACTAATCAATCAGAGGGAATCTCCAAGAGTCTCCGCGCGTTGTCGTTGTATATTTGCAACAACAACATTCGCAAGTCGAAATGTTTCGCAAGTGAAACCGAAGAAACCGAAATACAATGGGAGGGAGGGAGGAAGGGGAAAAAATATAACCGACCGAGTCGCAACGACAGAAGTGTAGTGAGGTGCGAGCGATCTCTCGCGCGCGTGTGTGTGTGTGTGTGTGTATGTGCTGTGTGGAAAGGGGGAGGAGGGAGAGGCCGGGGAGAAATAAGACGACGACATGTGTGTGTGCGGGGTACAGTTCAATATATATGACTATATTGACTGCGCGTCTAAGTACATTGAATAAGGAATTCGAATTCCAGGATATTTAGCAATTACAGACGTAAATTAGGTGGTGAGATGGTGACTCCTCGCTACGCTTACGCGCGACTACACCGATCGCGCGCACGACACGCTCTCGCTACTCTCTTTCGCACGCACAGGCACGCACGCATGCACGCACTCGTTTTCTCTCTTTTGCCCATATACACCTAGATAACATCAAAATAAATCTATATCTCGCAAATAGCAATAGTTTCGATCGGGGGTGAGGGTGGGGGGCTGATAGGGGCTATGTACACGAATGGCAGACTAAACGCACGCACTCGTTGATCTTTCTCTCGCACGCGCGCGCATACACACACACACACACGCACACACACACACACTCTCTTTCTCTCGTTTTTCTCTCGCTCGATAATCGTTAACTAATTACTCCGTCATTTACATACATACAGTTATCTTGTGGCGCGTTTTTACGCGCGACTACGTCAGACCGACCTGCGCCGCTCGCGCGATTGCGAAAGAGTCGCGCGACCGACTTCGGCCGAGAAGGGCGGCAGCCACCTCGTCGTCGCTCGTCGTCCTCCTTCTCCTCCTCGTCTCTTCGGGGAAAATCGAAAATCGTGATTAGGCGCAGAACTTTTTTACAATCTTGCACGCACTCGTTCTCTACTTTGGCATTCGGGCCCGCGCGAAACCTGGACGTTACGCGTCATCCAGTCTGTTCTTCATTCTTCACACACACACACACACACACACACACACATATACACACACACACGTGTATACATACACATCACACACACGCGCACACATACACGCATCTTACCTCCTTCTCTCCTTTTCTTTTTCTCTAGAGTGGGGATAAACTAACTAGGAAACAGTTGCAAGTCTGTCGATCTAAACAGTGGAACGTACCGGAACATAACCTAACCTAACCTTGGATCGACTCGTCACTTCTTCGCCAATTCTGCCTGCGGACGAAATCATCTCTCGAGAAGAAATAAAACAAACAAGAGAATTGATTCTACTCGACACACAGGTAACGCCAATGGTAATGTAAACATTAACATTTTCCCTTTGTCTCGCCGAGTGCCTTCGAAAAAGAGATTATCCGAGATCCGCGCAAACCTGCGAAATTACAGCGGGCGGGAAAAAATGTGCAGTGCGTCATATTTAAAGGTTAGACCCGCCGCGGCACGGCGCGCGGGTTTTAGGTTTTAGGTGGTATCCCGCGCTATCGTCGCATTCTTTATTTTCGCTTTTGTTTCCGTCGCTATACTCGCCATCGCTGGATGGAGGTTGCCGCTGCGCTGCGCGACCGCTGACGTCGTTGACGCAAAAATCCCGCCGCGAAACAAAACGAACGCATCGAGTTGTTAGCGCGAGAATAGCGCCGCCGTGGCCGGGGCGTTGAAGGGGAATTTGCGTCTGGCGCTTTTGGGCGCTGATGCAAATTAAAGGCTTCATTAGCGACGCCGACACAAGAAACGACGCGAGCGCACGCGCGCGCTCGCCGGCGTTATTAAACGAGAATGCGCGCATACGCCTTTTCCGTGTACTCGTTTCCGCGCGAGTAAAAACGTCGAGCGAGGATGAAGGAAAAAACAAAGACAAGCAGAAAGGCGAGTTGTTCTGGCCGCGATTTTCCCGGTATCGCGCGAGCGAGACTCGAGACGCCGGACCGTGCTCGAAATTCAGAATCGGCCGGATATCAAACGAGAGAGAGAGAGAGAGAGAAAGAGGGGGGGGGTGAAAGAGGGAGGAGGGAGAAAGAGAGAGAGGGGGGAGAGATACGCGTCCGATGTGTCCATAAAATTCGTCGACCTTGCAGCCGCGTGAAAGGATAATTTCAATTCCCGCCAATTAGCATTCCTCTCCGCCGACATTACCGCGAAGCGTGTTAATTTCCCGTGCTTATGAAAATTCGCCGATTGTGCAATTTCGCTCGGCCGTTTCGGCGATTGTGTGTTATCGCGCGCGCGCGAGCGGGCTGTGTCGTATATCGCCGATTCTGTCGTAAATAACGCGCGAGTATCGGCGATGTAATTACCGCGACTGCGCTGGGGAATTTTATTGCGCTAATTGAAGAACTCTTTTCCGGCTGCACGCGCGAATTCCCCAATTGCCGAAAGTGCACACAGTGCGATCATTCGTCCTCGTCTCCGCGGCCGGACGGACCGCTTCGATTGCCCGACAGTTAGAGAAAATTTTTTTAATCGAGAAAAAAGAAGAAGGAAAAGAAACAAAGCGCCTTTCGTGCCGAAGTGAAGACGTCAGACTCGACGGCGCGTCGAGTTAATCAAAGGTTACGCGATGCATACATTATCAACGTCCGAAAACAATACTTCGTCGTCGCATGTATCGTCCGCACGACAAAGAAATCTCGTGTGCGCATAAAATTAGTTCCCAGAATAATGGCAATTTACATGAACCTCACCAGGGGGGGGGGGAGGCCGGGACTGGAAACGCCGCGTTTCCTCGGCTGTGCAAGAAGTGTCTGCGTGACCTCGCTCTCAGCGGTACTCGAAGACTGGCTCTTCCTCCCTCTCTCTCTCTCTCTCTCTGTATCTCGCTCGCTCGTTGGACGACGATCGCGGCCGCGTACAGCGGCTTCGACTTCCGGTTTCGCGCGCGCCCCACGAAAGATCCTATTTACAAAGAGACACAAGAAGAGGCCTCCACCCGGTTTCGCGCTCAGCTGCGAAACTGCTCGGTTCGCCGAGTTTACCACGGCCTCCACATGCCCTCCTCGTCCTTGACGGGCTGTTGGCCGACGGGCGACGGGGACGGCATGCCTACGGTGACCTCGCTGTCCGCGTGACTAGACGGCCGGTCTTCGACGATGGATCCGGCACCCTCGGCCGGCAGACGAACCGACGTCTGCTGCTGCTGCTGCTGCTGCTGCTGCCGTAGATGATGTTGCTGCTGCTGTTGTTGATCAGTGACGGCGGGCAGATGCGTCGTGCTTCTCGAGCCGGTCTTCATCTTCTTCGACGTGGTGGTAAAGTCCAACGGCTGCTCCGGCTGCTCCATCCTCGGGCTCTTGCTCGGTTTCAGGCCGGTCGGGTCTTGGATCCACTCCTGCGCGAGGTCCTCGTGCGGTCGTTTCGCCAACTTGTCGGTGGCCTTGAGCAGCGACATGTTGGTCGCCGCCCAGATCGCCGTGGGTGGATTCGGCCCGATGCTGATGCCGTTCGCCGCGGCCGCGGCTGCCAGTTGCACGTAGTGACTCGGCAACAGGAACACCACCTGGCCGTCCGGTAGCCGGGACGGTATGACTTGCACCACCGACAGCATGTTGGGGTTCTGCTGCGACGTGGACGCCTGGTGGTCGACCGGCAAGCCCGCCGGGTGGTGCGGGTGGTGCGGGTCCAACGCCGCCGGGTTCACCTGGCTGAAGGCCGAGGTCGGTCGACTGCTGTTGTTGTTCTCGTCGCCGGCGGTGGTGCTGCTGTCCGGCCGGGCCGCCTCCATCTCCGGGATCTCGGACTTGATCAGCCCGGCCGGCGTGAGGGTCGCCGCGGTGCTGCAGTGCGGACCCACCGGGCCGCCGACATGGTGATCGAGCGGACCCGGGCTCGTCGCACCCGCCACGCGATCCGTCACGCTACCTGGGCTACTGCCCAGGCCGCTGTCGGGCCGCGAGCCCAGATCCAAGTCCAGCTCCGACACACAGCTGTCCAGGTGGCGCAGCAGCCTCTGCTTCACCGCCGGGTCCATCGGCGTGGTATTGCCCGTGATGATGTCCGGCGCATCGAGGTAGCGGCTCACCTGGAACACGACAACGGGACCGGCCGATTGCAGAGAAACTGACACGAGAGAGTGAGTGAGAGCGGCGAGCGCGCGCGCGACTCCTTCCCTCTTGAGCGCGCGTCATGCTTTGTCTGATGGAGCGCGACAGTGCGTGATTATCCCGTAATGCGTGATTCCGCTGAAATCCCACTCGAACGCCAGAGTGACAATCGAGCTCGAGTGACCTTTCAGCCGTGAATTGCGCCCCGCTCGGAATGATGCTGGGAATTACTTTCGCCCGAAATTTATCAGCGACCTCTCTCACGCGCCCCCCCCCCCCACTACCAGCTCTCGCAGGTACGTGCATTCGCTCGCTAATTAATTGAAACGTATACTCTGACTCGTCGAGACGTAAGCCTAAGTTTGAGTTTGAGCACTCCCGTGAGAGTCTCTCCGCTCCGCTCGTTCTCACAAGCGAGATTTAAGAGGCGAGAAAATTCGGAGGATTCCAATCGCTCTCTTCCTCTCTCGCTTAAGGATAGATCGCGAGCTTGCGGTGTGAGCAAACAATGCGGCTCCTCAAGCCGATTAAACGTTTCTATCGCGGCTGATAGCCGAGCGAAGAAGCCGAGTCCGCTGATCGGAGGCCATGACTCGTCTTAGGCGCGGCGCGAGGACGGCCGCGCGGATTCCTCCGTTATTCACACGAATAATCCCGCGAATTTAAATAATTATTATCGCTAAACACAGCGGCGGCCGCGAATGGCGGCGGGTGCGCGCGAATTAACGCCGCGAGTTATTCTCTCTCTCTCTCTCTCTCTCTCTCTCTCTCTCTCTCTCTCTCTCTCTCTCTCTCTCTCTCTCTCTCTCTCTCTCTCCCTCCCCTCTCTCTCTCCCTCTCCCTCTCTCTCTCTCTCTCTCTCTCTCTCTCTCTCTCTCTCTCTCTCTCTCTCTCGCGGGCAGTTAGCGCGCGAGCACGCGTCGGTTTCGATACGGTGCGCGCTACGATGAAACGGAAAAATATATCGCGCGCGCGCGCTGGAAATTCTCTTCTCGGCCGAGCGGTATCGCGCGCGTCAGTCATTATCGACCGCCGGGCGTAATTGAATATTTCGCGTTTGCTCTTTAATCCGCGGTTCGATCGAGTAACGGAGCGGCGCGGCGCGGCGTTCTCTCTCTCTCTCTCTCTCTCTCTCTCGCTCGCTCGCTCGCTGCCTCCCTCCGTCTCTCTCGCGCCGCGCGCGCCGTGATTATTTGTTACCCGATACTCCCCCGGCCGACCCAGGAGCACCGTGCCGGCGGCGCGCGGCTCGTAATTTATTTCGTACGTGTCGGCGATAACAGCCGCCGCGATAAAACGCTCTTTAACGCGCGACTCGCGTCGACCGGCGTTCCGACGGCGGCGCCGCTAACTTTTCAGGGCCGATCGTTATCGCGAATCAGTCCGGTGGGCGCTAATTGACGCGCGCCGGCTGCTTAGCGCGCGGCCGGTCTGCGATTGGAACGGGATATCGTTGCAACCAGCCTCCACGTCCGCAGTATTTTTCGACGGCGACTGCGAAAGCGCAGGAGATCGGCTGTCGCTTGGTCTCTTATTGGAATTTCGACAATCATCCGTGAGCTCTTGAATCGCAAAATATTCGACCGACTCGAAATATTCGTTGGACCACGTCGCGATAACTTCTTCACGGTCGCCGCGCTCTTGGCGAGTAGAAATTGAGGGGCGCGTCATGCGAAGAAAGAAAGAAAGAAAGAAACAGAGAGAGAGAGAGAGAGAGAGAGAGAGAGATGCGCGAGTGCAAAGATCGTCGCGACGTTTCTGCGACGAGAAAATTCGCAGCAGCAGCCGGACGGGAGCCGAATTGCGAGAGTGGAAACGGCGCGCTGGCGGCAGCCGCGGTGATTCAAGCGGAAGCGGCGCGATTGATCTCTAATCGCGGAACGTATCGCACGCTATATTTCACACGGCGCGGCGCGGCGCGCCAGCAACGCGCCGACGGCGGCGGCGTATCGAGCGCGCCGCTCGCCAGTGAAACTATCGCCGCATGCCGCCACGGCGACGGACAATAATTCTGCCGGCGAGCCGAGAAACGCCGCACGCACGCCCGCCCCCCTCTCCGCCCGTCGCTCGCTCGCGCGCTTGCTCTCCCGCTCGTTCACTCGCTCGCCGCACCCGACGCGCGCGAGAGAGCTTTTATGGGTCGCTGCTTGAAAATAAAGCAACCGAATCCGCCGCATGCTGGGAAGGTTGCGCGGCCGCGGGAGGAAAGAAAGAAAGAGAGAGAGAGAGAGAGAGAGAGAGAGAGAGAGAGAGAGAGAGAGAGAGAGAGAGAGAGAGAGAGAGAGAGAGAGAGAGAGAGAGAGAGAGAGAGAGAGAGAGAGAGAGAGAGAATAGCGCGGGGCGGCATCGACATTGAGAGATCGAGCGTATCGGGTGGTGGATTTACGAATGTGGGTTAACCACGTGCGTCAGCAATTAAGAGAAACGGGATCCGGCATTTTTCATTGGTTCCAGCCGCGTGCGCGGAGCCGCAAGACGCGTCTCCGCTCGCACGCGCAGAATCGGTTCGCTGAATTGAAAGCGGATCGACGGGAGGTAATTGATGTAATTAACAGCGATCGATCTCGGCGTTGGCGCCCTCCGCGCGACGCGCAGGCTGATTATGGTTTATCGCGGCCGGCCTGGCCGCTCGGTTTTCACGCAATCGCGTCAAACACCGGACGCATACGCTCGCGCGTTTCACGCTCGCGCGCGCCGAGAATGTGCTTTCGCGCAACGGTGCTTTCGACGGAGCGGACGAGAGGAGCTCGGGGACGAGGGCAGCGAAACTGCGCCACCACGGCGCGGTGGCGGCGGCGGCGGGACACGTCGCCTCGACCGGCGGTTTTATAAGGCCGTAAAGTTTGCCCCGCGGGAACCCTCGCTCGCTCCTTCCTCCCTCCTTTCCTCCCTTCTTCCTTCCTTCCTTCCTTCCTTCCTTCCTTCCTTCCTTCCTTCCTGCGCCCAACTCGCACACGGCCGTTCCGTATATCACGGCGTGCCGCCGCCGCGCTCGCGCCGTGATTTCGCCCGACGTCTCGTCGCCCGAAATTTCTGGCACGCTCTCACCCACCCTTCCTACCCTCCGCGTCGTCCCCTCCCTCCCCCCCTCCGCTGCTGCTGAGCGCGATGTGTTGGCACGCCGGCGGCGTTCGCCGGCTCTCGAGAGACGAACGCGCGACTGTTCGGTGATATTTTGCAAGATTCAATATCGCCAGTTTCTGCGGCCCTTCGCCGGCCGAATTACTCGCGACTTTTCTTCTCTCGACGGAGACAATCTTTACAGGTTTATTTGTCGGCTCGCCGACGATGCCGCGCAGGCGACTGCGATGTTTCGGTGCTTCATCGAGATATGCGTGTGTCTCCGCTTTCAGTCCAATGTATTTTTATATCGACTTTATCGATCACGTGATATCAGCGATTAAAACGTCGGTCAGGTATCGGTAGGATGATCGACGAGAAAACAAAGCGCGTCGAGGTGGGAGCCGGCTTAAAATCGTAAAGAAACCTCTTAAAACGAGATCATTCTCAAGTGCACTGCGTTGTCCGCACGATTGGAGCTTTGCGAACGTCGTAATTTTCGGGCACGACGAGGAGCAATCGGCAAGCCCCAAGCGCGGGTCGCCGGCAGACGACGACGGCGATTGCGGAAGAGAATGCTTCCAATGAAATTCTCGTCACGAGGCGGGCAGAACGAGCGAACGAACGAGCGAGCGAGCGAGCGAGCGTGGCGCAGCCACATTTTTCGACTTTATCGGCGCGCGTGTACCGATAAGGAGCCGCGCGCGACAGGTAAGGCCGCGGGCTTTGTGCCGCGCGGCAAGTGCGCTTTGTCGAGGCGAGCCAACAATCGAGTCTCGACGCGCCTCGAGTTCCGCACCAATGAAGATATACGACGGAAATGCCTGACGCCGCGCGCGCGCGCGCGCGCGCACATTCGCCGGCGGTATCGCCTCGTCGACGAGGCCGCGCGCACGAGCGCGCGAGAAAAGAGGAGAGGAAAAAGTTTCGCGTCGGTAAGCAGCGAGGCGATAAGCGAACGACTGAGGAAAATTAAGCGAAGATCGGCCGCAAACAACACGCCCCGCCGGGAGGCGACGCTCCTCCCGTTGTTGAGGCACGGACGAGTTCTCCCCCCCCTCTCTCTCTCTCTCGCTCGCTCGCTCGCTTCGTCGTCGTCGTTTCCCGAGTGGAATTTTGTTTTTGCCGCCAACGTCCGAACTAGACGAGATCCGGACGGTTGAGAATTGCCGAGTTTGCGGACCGAGTCCCAGTTCCCGCGCGAGAAAAGTTGTGATCGCGTTCCTCCTCTTCCCTCCCCTCCCCCCAGCCCTTAGCAGTTTTCCACGACATTGCTGCGCTCACCGCCGACCGACATATGCAAAATCGAGCTCGAGCTCGAAAAACCGCCGCGTTCCTCTTGTTCCCCTCCTCCTCCCCCCGCAACCGAGATCTATATCCTCGAGCGCACTTGATCAGCTCGTCCGGTAGATTCAGCGCGACGCGGCACTTACGGGGTGTCCGCTTTCAACGAGTTTCCTCTCGTTTCGCGGCTGGACATCCCTTAACGAACAAGTGGGGGAGGGGGCGGGAGGATGAGGCGGCGGCGGCGGGGAGGAGGGCGAGAGAGCTCCGCGGAGTCACGCGAGACTTTCCAACGATAACCCGATACCTCTCGTCGCTCGAGGGGAGAACAACGGCGGCGGCGGCGGCGGCGGCGGCGGGAGGGCCGCGTGTGGAAGGGGCAGGGTGGTTTCGGTGGGTTCTTCTTCCACTCGGCAGGATTCCCCGCTCTCGTCCCCATCCCTTCCCGCCCGTAATACGAACCAGTTCCGCCGAGTTCTCCGATTACATGCTCCCCGGACGCGCTGGAATTCGACTTTTTTCACCGCCTCCCGGCCCCCCTCCCTCCCTCTCGCCGCCGTCATCGTCGCGCAACCCTGTGGCGAAACGTCGCGGCGGGGTATAATGGCAACTGCGGCGCAAAAAGCGACGTTTTTCCGCGGCGGAGTCGCCTTACCGATCGTCTTTGTTTTGTCCGGGAAGATGCGGTTGTCGATCGAATATCTCCTCCGAGCGGATTCTTTTTTTTTCTTCCTCTCCTCGTCCCCACCCATCCTCCACCCCCCACCCTCTAGGCCGACCACTTTCGTTCCGTTTTCTCGGGGAAACAACAAGCCGTCCGCCCACCGCGCGCGCTCTCACTCGCGTTCGCGGATAATCGTCAAGGCTGCTATAAAAAACGCAGCGCGCGTCGCGCGAGCGCGCTTTAATTTAAACGCCATCTTACCTCTCTCGAGCAATCCTGGTATCCGGCTTTGTACCTGGACAGGCCGGGTTGAGCGAGCGACCTTTGCCGCTGTAGGTGCCTGACCGTAAGCTCCAAGATATCAGCTTTCTCGAGCTTACTGTGCTTAGTGTTCTCCAGGCGGGCGCTGTCGAGAATAAGCGCTTTCAGCGCCGCCAGGGATTGGTTGATCCTCGCTCGCCGCCGTTTTTCCATTAGTGGTTTGTTAGCCTGCAACAGACGCAAGAAGAGACGGCTCGCTTATACACGCGTATCAATATCGCAAAGCGCTCGCGCACTTCCTTTCCTTCTCTCTCTCTCTCTCTCTCTCTCTCTCTAACTCTCTCTAACTCTCTCCTCATGAGAAGCGCGCGCGGGCGAACGAGCGAGCGAGAGCGATTCCAATTGTCGCGCGTCTCGCTAATCGATCGCTTCGCATTCGTCCTCCCGCGCGACGGCAACGAGCTTTCTCGCTCGCGGCTTAACGACGGAAAGAGCGACGTGTTGCCTAGACGCGACACGCTCTCCTACTTCAGGCGAAGTGCTATTTTTCCGCTCGCGCTCGGTGGAAGTGGTGATTTACGAGGAGCCGCCGGCGAGCGGGAGCGGGAGCGGGAGGGGGAGGGAGGGAGAGAGAGAGAGAGAGAGTGAGAGAGCCGCGGAATGACACACACGCTGCGCGCCATGAGCAGCGTATCGAGGCTACCATCTCGGCCCGTCAGCCCGCTTGATCTGGATTGGGTCCAGTTACGATCGCTTATCCGCCGTGTCATCGAGGATATCATCCATCTATACCTCCCGCCTCTTCTCCCCCCCCGCCCCGTGCATTTGCCCCCGCCGCCGTGCGCGTTCATTGAACGAAAATGGAAAAGAAAGAGAGACGGGACGAGCGACGAGCAGCTCAGAATTAGGAGCTATTTATAGGCTCTTACGAGCGGCGCGCGCGCGCGAGTCGCGGCTTTTCAACTGGCCGCGCTGAGAGCGAGAATTTGCACTTGTTTGCGGAGGCCATGAGAGCCCGCACGTGCGTTTCTTTTTTTCTTTCCTCCTGCTCTTGATTTTTTCCTCCTGCCCGGCGCGGCGCGGCGCGGCGCTGCGGCTCTTAGCTCGCTCGCTGGCGGAGTGCCGACGACGTCGCTCGCGGTGACGACAACACGAAAACGAAGGCGGCAGCGACGACGACGACGACGACGACGACGAGTCGAGTAGACGGTCTAGAGAGAGACGCAAAGGGGTAATCATAGAGACTGCGACTCAGATGGGAGATAGTCGCAGACGGGCGGGGATAGAGCCGGGGATAAAGTGGGGTAGACCGCGAAGTGGATGACAGAGAACCGGCGCGGGCGCGTCGAAGGCAAACGCGCGCCGTACCGGGTGTCCCGAAGGTGCACGTCGGTGCGCGGCGGATTTCCGCGGGTGCGGTTAGCGGATAGCGGCGGGTCGATGTCGCTCTCCAGGATCATTCCGTCGGTTTCTCTTTAATCATCCCGCCCACGCGGCGGGCGAATTTCCCCGAAGAACGACGACGCGGAGAGCGGCTCTGGAGTATCTCGCAACCGGATGTTTCCTCGCCGCGAGAAGTCGCCGCGACGGAAATCGCGGGCAGAGTTCCCGAGTCGGCACGGGGGAATCCCAATTCTTCTCGGGCTCGCTGAAAGAAAGGCGGCAGCGCCGCCGCTCCCGCTCGACTTTTCGGTGCGCTCTCTGTGCCAAGCGACCAAGTGCGAACGAGCGAGATGGAAAAAAGAAGTTAGAAGCCGTCGTGCGCAGCCGTCCTCGCGGACGGAGACAGTGAATGCAACGCCGACGTGTAGGAGAAAGGGAGACGGAGAGCAACGCGACGAGGATGGCCAGCGCTGCGGCGTGAGCAGCGAGAACGAGACGACGAATATAACAATATGATTGTATGAGACGGACAGAAACAGTCGATGCACACGTACGAAGGAGATGAGACAAGAGAGAGAGAGAGAGAGAGAGAGAGAGAGAGAGAAGGACAGACTCATTTGGGGGAACGAGAGACAAAGGTTTAGTGAGCGAGAACGACGCGGATGTCTCGTGTGGGAAAGGGACAGCGTGCGAAGTAGCAAGCCACGAGGCCGAGCTCACAAAGGTACGTCTGCTACGAGAGAAGGAAACAGCAGCCCACATTACGGTAGGAAGAGAGAGAGAGAGAGAGAGAGAGAGAGAGAGAGAGAGAGAGAGACAGAGACAGAGAGAGAGAGGGACGGCAAATATCCCCGTGAGAGATGAAGATAGCGCGCGACACGCGGATGCGGCGAGAGAGAGAGAGAGAGAGCAGATAGAGTCGGAATCGGAGAGCGAGCAAGAAAGGCAGCAGCAGCAGCAGATTTCTGCGTGGGGAACGACAGATAGAAATAACGGGCGACGAGGACAGATAAAGTCGAAGCTAGAAAGCGAGCGGAGAAGAGAGAGAGAGAGAGAGAGAGAGAAAATACGAGTGGAGCGATAGAAATGGAAATAGGTGGTCGGGGGAGCGAGCGACAAAGTCGGGGGATTCCAACTGAGAAAGAAAGAGCAAGAGGAAGGGAGACGTAAAGTCGGGGGGAAGAGAGAGAGAGAGAGAGAGAGAGAGAGAGAGAGAGAGAGAGAGAGAGAGAGAGAGAGAGAGAGAGAGAGAGAGAGAGAGAGAGAGATAGGAGCGAACAGCGAGGCGCCAGCAGAGCGACGGAGATGGAAGCGGCCGGTGGCGAGAAGGATAACAAGTGACGAGATAGAACCGGGTCCAGCGAAAGAGCGAGCGAGCGAGCGAGCGAGAGAGAGAGAGAGAGAGAACGGGACACCGCAGATAGCTGCGAGAGCGACAGAGATAAGTACACGGGCGGAAGGATAAAGGGAAACGAGGTGAAGCCGGCGCGCGCGTTGCGTGCATGCGGGAGCGCCGCCGTGGATAAACAAACGAGAGCAAGCCGCGGTGGTCACACGTGCGCGCGCAAGCGGGTGTCTGTGCGTGTGTGTGTACGTGCGTGTACGCGCGTGTCACGCCGGGCGCTCTCGCGCTCCGCCGCGTCCTTCTATTATTACAAAAGATGCGCGCGGCGGCGACAGGGACGAGAGAGCGGGCCGCGGCAGACAAAGCGTGAGAGCTGGCGAAGCGCGGGGGAGGGAGGGAGAGACGGGCGCCTGTCTGTGCGGTGGAGCTCGAGTGCGAGCGAGTCCGTGGAGTCGGGCGCGTGCACGGCAGGAATTTCGTAGGGACGATTAAATCACGCCTCGGCGATTCGGGGCTGAGGGGTGAAACTGGGTTAGTCGCGGGCCGCTTGTCCTTCCCCTTCCCCTCTCTCTCTCTCTCTCTACACCTTTTTCCCCCGAATCAGCTCCCCGACGCGCTCCGCTCGTCGGGCGAAACTCGGTGACGCCGGGTGAAATAATGAGGAGACGCGTCTTTTTCCGCGGGAGCTTGGGATTTTTCGCACGCCGGCCGGCCGGCCGGCCGGCCGACCGGCGGTCGCTCCGTAAAATCGTTCGATCTCGCGGGGACTCTCTTTGTGACCGAGATTCGACGAGGAATGGACATTGATCCTTCTTCCGCCGTGGTAGACAGAAAAGTCCACTTCCTCCGCGCGTACGTGCTTTATCATTGTTGCCACTTAGATTAACATACGTCCCACATCGGGTATCGCGCTGGCCGACGATCCCTTTCGCGTGCTCTTTGCGCGCCAGACTCAGACGCGCAGCGCCTTTTTCGCGAGGTATCGAAACGTCGTCACGCAGGCCGATAAGATCGGCGACCGCGCCGCTCTCCGACTCGCTCGTCCGTGCCGTGACTTTCGACTTCGAAAAGTGGACGCGCGCCTGCGGAGCAAGGGGCGTAAGATAAAGAGGACGGGTTCTCGCGCGCGCGGCGTGACGGCGACTTTGAACGGTGTCGCCGGCGGCGCTGATTAGCGCGTTACGCGCGATAAATCGCGTCTCGTCGACCGTCGCTTACGCCTTCGCGACACGTACGGCGGCGTCGTGAATCATCATCGAAGCGCCGGAATTCATAAAGCCGACTGTTTTCACAGCGGTCGTTGGCTAACCGTGAGACTGCTCACGGTCACCTTTCTCTCTCTCTCTCTCCTCGGTGTGTGTATTCGATACAAGCTTTAATATCTCTAATTAAATGCACAAACATACCACGGGCGTGCACTGCGCTTCAGCGCGATGGGGATAAACCTGCCGCTGATATGAGGTGACATTTCTTTATTTGATAAAAATACAACTGAACTTTCATAAGAGCTGGATGTTGCGCTTCGCTCTTGAAGACGCACGCGTACGTTGCCCGCCGTTGTCTTCGGCCGCGTCGTCGGCAGCGGATACGCCTTCATCTCGCACATAATAAATCGATTAAAATGCGAAGGCTGGTGGCAACGAGCGACAGGTAATTAAACCGGGCATAACGACGATCCGCTAAGTGCCGTCAATTAAGCCGTCCGCCGTTGTCCGACGACGACAGAAACGTTCGCGTCCGCCGCTGTTTCTCTCTCTCTCTCTCTCTCTCTCTCTCTCTCTCTCTCTTCCTCTCCTTCTCTCACCCTCTGCCCCGTTTCGTCCCCTCCTTGCTCCCTTCCCGCTTCCAAGTCCCGCGAGACTTTACCGCCCTCATTAACTCAACGCGCCCCTCGAGCTCCCGCCTATCGCTGTGATCCCTCAACGACGATAACTCGACGCGATAAAGATTACGAATTTCTTGACGCGGCGGCTGCGGGAGGAGGGGGGAACGGGAGGAAACGGCTCCAGATCGGTCGGAGATAATTCGTAAGTACGTTTAATTCCTCGTTATTGTTAATTCCATCATCCTCACGATACGTTCATCGATTTGGACAAAAGTCCAAGTCGAATTACAAAGAAGGAGGAATGTCGGATCGATTCCCGCCATCCTTTCTCTCTCTCTCTCTCTCTCTCTCTCTCTCTCTCTCTCTCTGTTCCTCTCGGTCTTTTCCCACCTCGGACTCGGCGCGAATTTTTCGCCGGCGAATTACCGCCGGCGCTATTAACGAAGCGGCGCGCATATTTCCCCGCGCGAGCGCATTCCGCTAATAAAGACGAGTGCGCGAAGTTGCGCCCTTTCGTCACCGCGGAAACTTTCCTAATAGGAGACCGCAACGCGGCACGGCGCGCTCGAGCGCGAACGTCGCTCGTCTCTTACTCTCTCACGCGACGTAAATCGCCTTAAAAGGGCACCTAGCCGTCGTACTCACGCACGCGTGCACAGCGCGGGTTCAAGCTGGCCGCGCGCTCATGCTCGCCCTCGTTGGAATTTCGCGCAGCTCCTTCGCGCGTCACGCTCTATCGTCGGATCTGCGCATTAATAACCCTCCGCCGAGCGTGCGTCGCGCGCTTGGCCGTGGCCGAAGCGAGGCGAGGCGAGAGGGAAGGGGAGTGGGAGTAAACGTTCGCCGTTTACTCTCTTTCCCTTGAAGGAGGATGCGGGACTCGAATTTATCGGGATCACCATATCGGGCCACCACGGTCTCTCGCACGGCGAAGAAGCTGCTGGCCGCAGGGAGACGAGAGCATTGTGCGCGTACGCGCACTTTTGTTTTGTTGTACGTTTTGTTAAGCGCTGTTGAGCGCAAATGATCGTACACGCGCGCGCGCGGAATTCGCCGAAACGCGAATTTCGGTCGCGCGTTTTCCGCTCGGCGAGCTAATTGGATAAACCGAATTACACCTTTGAACGAGGCTGACCGTGGCGGGCTGACTGAGGCGCCCGGATCCTGCGCGATAACCGTCCGTAAATACGTCCAATTACTGCGAATTGGTATTACAAGGCTCTCCGACGAGCACCGTTCGTGCCGCGCGCGACGTGCCCTCGCGCGCGACCCGGCTCCCGGCTGTTTTGCCGCCGCGACGGAGAAAAATAAGGAAACGCATTTGTCACGCGCGGCGATCGAGCGGTCGAGCGCGAGTGCGCGCGAGAAAGAGCGAGCGAGCGAGAGAGAAAGAGAGACCTGCCGAGTCGGTCTCGCCGTCGGCGATGCCGACGCTTGTTAACGAGGATTTCAGTGGGAATCGATGAGATCGCTCGCCGCTTTCTAAGATTTATCGCGTCGCGGAGGGGGGAAAAAATGGGAAAAAAAAGTCTGATCATACGGTGCTGAATAAACGCGACAGCGTGACTCGAAGTCGCGTCCGAACGTATCGATTTTCATTGCTACTCCCTCGTTTCTCTGTCTCGTTGTCTTTGCGCGAATTCGCGGATCTTTTGATCGCGAAAGGACACCGATGTCCTCTTCAGTCCCGTTTCTCGGCACACGCGCGCGCGTCCAATAATTCCCGACGGTCGCTTTTTCGTTTCTCTTCATTCCACGTTTCATTGCATTTTTGCGGCACCTGCACGTGCAAAGCGATATTCTTTTTTACGCCTCCCTCTCTCTCTCTCGCGAGCGAGCGAGCGAGCGAGCGCACGAGCGCGCGCGGCTATCGCCTTCGCGCGTTTTTACGATCCGCGAATAAGCGAAGGTCGAGCCGTCGAATTCCGGAATCTCGCGAAATCCGCCTGGCTTGCGGTGCTGACCCACTTCGCGGGGATTAGAGAGAGGAGAGAACCGCGCGCGCACACGCACGCGCGCGCGCGCGCACACACACACACACACACACACACACACACACACACACACACACACACACACACACACACACACACACACACACACACACACACACACACACACACACACACACACACACACACACACACACACACACACAGCTAACGCCGCGCGCGCTGCAGCTTTCGCGTTCATTTTTATGCACTCAAGTTTTTAATCGCGAACTTTTCCCGGAGTCCCGCCGAGCGCCAGTCGCTCCGCGGAGATTGCATCGGACGTCGAGAGATCGCGACGTTATCTTGCGCGCGTGTGCGCGTATTCCCCGCGCATTTATCGTTCGATTTATGAAATCTCGCGAAAAAAGTTGGAGAGGGAAAGAGAGAGGGGAGGGGGATAATAATTTTGATAATTTTGACACACGCACAGTCATTGTCACAATTTCGCTGGAAACTTTGAGACAACTGCACGTCATATGGTACCTACCTACGAAAAAGAGACGAGAGTACTTTCCGTCGAGTAGGAAGAGCGAGGGGGGGGAGGGGATGCGCGAAGGGGACAATTTGAACTTTCCAATTGCAGCGATGAGACGATATCGCGTCGGCGAGAGAAAGAAGAGCTTTATTCGGCGCAGCCGAAGACCTTGCACAAATGCAACAAATTACCGCGGCACCGAGGCGTACGCCTCTCCTCCCTCCCGCCCGGAGGGAGACCGACTGACAAATCGGCCGAGTGGCGTCCGCGCGCGGGTAGTATCGCACGTCCAACGACAGGGCGACTCGGGGCGACGGGAGGTTGCGCAAACAAGAGACACGTGTCCGGTGGTATCATGTTCTCGCGTCGCGCCAGCGGCCTCACGATCGGGAGATTAAGGAGAGTCGCGCAGGAGGAGTCGGAGGAACATCGCGATCAGGTACCAGTACGTGACCCGGCGTGGCCATGTCGCGATGGACAGAAGACGCGGCAGCGGCGAGAGCACCCTCCGTGAGGCTGACCTCGAAATCCACCAAGCGTCGAGCACCGAGTGCGAGCTCGTCTCTCTCTCTCTCTCTCTCTCTCTCTCGACGGGACTTCGCATTCTCCCCGAGAACGGAACGCGAGAGGAATGTCACAGCGAACGAAGGGGCCGGCGTCTCGTCGTCTCGAATTCGCTCAAAGTTTCTCTACTCACTCTTCGTCCGTCCGAGTGCTTCGGGCTCGGGCTAAGGCTCGGGCTGGGGCTTGGTGCCGGGCTCGGACCCTGATGCACGGCCTGCTGATGCTGAGAGTGCTGGTGGTGCTGCCTGTGGCTGCTGCCGGCTGATTTCTTCTCCTGGTGCCTCAGCGAGTGTAGACGCGCGGTCATCTTAGCAGGCCGCGACGGCCCTCGGCTCGGATCGCAGCACCCTACGTGATTGACTGGACACGGCTGAGGCTCTCAGCATCTCGCAGCGGCCTGCTCGACGGCGAGACCAGACTACCACCTCGCGCGGCGGATCCCTCGCTACTGCTACCGACTACTGACACTGACGAACGATACACGCCGCGGACCGATCACCGTTGCACCATACCCTCGAGAGAGTCTCTCGAGAGGTCGAAAGTCTCGGAATGTGCCAAGAGCGCGACGAGCGAGTGTCGTCGGCTCGTCACAAGCCCGCGAGTCTCTTCTTCTTCTTCTTCTTCTTCTTCTTCACCAGGGAAGGAGGATCGCGAACGCCTGTGCCCTCTCTCTCACTCACTCACTCCTTCCTTCCTTCCTTCCTTCCTTCTTTCCGTTTGTCTGTCTGTCTGTCTGTCTCAGGCGCGGACTGTCGTTTGATTTACACTCACTCGCCGGCGACCACCTGGTGTGTCCCCGTAGCCAGCGAGAGAATCGTCCGCGCCGCGCGCGCACAGGCGAGGAAAGTCCCGCGAAAGTTCACACCACTCTAAAGCCCTGTGCAACACACCGGCGGCGCACACACCGCGCCACGTGGTTAACCACGCGTCGCCGACCACTTGTCACTCGCGGGGCGGAACGGCTCGCCGCTCAGCTCTTTCACCCTTACGCGCGCGCGTCCTTTCTTCCTTCCGTCCGCTCGCTCGCTCGCTCGTCAGCCTCAAGCGAGCGGTCAATGAGAACACGCCACTCTGTCTCGTCGTCGCGTCGTCACGCCCGCCGACAGGCAATAACGTCCAGCTGTCACTGCGCGAATATCATCCGGCGATACGACCGCGCACGCGTTGACGCGCGCTGCCACCGCTGGAAGGCGGGGGAGAGGGTGGCCGCGGGATCGCGTGGATCACGAGGCTGCGAGATTCTCTGCCTCTGCGGCCAAGTGTCGTTATCTCGTCGTTATCGCCGTGTGTATGTGTGTGTATTTATATATATCGAATCGCGTGGAATTTCTCGCTCCAAAGTCACCGCGGCAAAATCAGCCAAGGGGAGCTTCACTGAGAACCCGCCCCGTCGTCGACACTCGCTCAACGTGACGCGCGCGCGACCGCGTGCCGGGGCCGACCTGTCGATCCCCGGCGGCGCGACGAATGCGGCACGACGAGGGAACAGAGAGAGAGAGAGAGAGAGAGGGAGAGAGAGAGAGGGAGAGAGAGAGAGAGGGAGAGAGAGAGAGAGAGAGAGAGAGAGAAAGAGAGAAACGAAAACACACGCGCTCTGCGTGCGTGCTGCGATTCCGCCGAGAGAGCGTCCGCGTGTGCTCACACGGCGAGCGACGATGACGGACTGTGAGGCGGCGAGCGGTAGCTGGCAGCTGTACGGCGAGCTTGGCGCGCCGAGAGACCCGCCGCGGCAGAGGGGGGAGGGCGACAGGGTAACGGGGGCTCGCGTCGTGGTTGGTCGTGCGTGGAGCGGGGGACACCGGTGGATGGCTCGTCGGCGCTTGGCGTGGCGCGCGGCACAGCGCAGCACAGAGCGGCGCGGCGCTGCGCGCAGGGCAGCGCAGCGCAGCGCGCGCCGCGCTGCGGCGCTGTGCGGCGCAGCGCGGCGAGACTCGACTCGGCTCGACTCGACGCGACGCGACGCGACGTTACGCGACGCGGCGGAGGGTCGTCGGAAGGCTCGCTTGCCTGCTCACGCGCGCCCTTGCCTGCGGCTACGTGCGGTCGCGTCTCCTCTCCTCTTCGTCGTTTCTCTCGCTCGCTCTCGCGCTGTCTCTCCTTCGCTCTCTGTCCCTCTCGCTCTAGCGGCCGTCCCCCCCATCGCGCGCCGCGCCGCGCCGCGTCGCCTTCGTCCGTCTCTTTCTCTCTCAGGGCCGTTTTATTGCCTAGCCACCGTGAAGCGGCGTCGAAGCAGGAACCGATTTGGATATCAGTGGATCTCTTTCCCTCTACTCTCTCTCTCTCTCGCTCTCTCGTTCGCATTGCCTTTCGCCTCTCTCTCTCTCTCTCTCTCTCTCTCTCTCTCTCTCTCTCTCTCTCTCTCTCTCTCTCTCTCTCTCTCTCTCTCGCTCGCTCGCTCGCTCGCTACTGCGCCGGTTTTTTTTCCTTTTAATCGATGCCTGTTGGGCTGCCTCCGGTTTCGGAGCAGGGGGAGGGGGGAGCGGGTAAATGAGAATTAAAGCCTCGCCGCACGCGAGCGTCGGCTAAATGCGTTTACGCGCGCAGAGACGAGCGCCGCGGCGCGCCGCGGAAGATAATCGACCGGCTCTTTCTGCGTGGCCGACGCTCGCGGCCGATCGCATTCCTTGACGCACGCCGCACCGTCGACGTTTGTTTACTCAGAGAACAAAAGAAGGTTTGACAGCCGCGGAGGTGCTCGATAGAGCGGAGATACGCGCGTTTGTGGCGACTCTTTGCCGGTCTTCTTTCGCCCCCGCGCTATGTTGAAGCGAGAAATTTTTCACACGCAGGCCGGCTGCCTGATTGCCACGACGAGAGACGAGAATTGGTCTTTCGACTTTGTCGATGGTGCGAATATATCGTGTCGAATTAGTCGTCAAATTTTTGCAGCACGCGCGACGCGTGACGTAGATTGTTTGCCGCACGGACGCGGGAGCAGATTTAACAAAAGCTGCTCTCGAAGATCGTCACGTTGCATTCTGCGACGTGACATATTAAATTCCGGTCGCTCCTCTCGCGATCATTAGTCCCACGCGACAATCATTAGGAGACACTGCCTTTACGCGCCGAAGTTGGTCCCGAATCTAGCTGGAAATTCGCCGAGGGTTTCCGCAATGAGCGCGAGGACCTTTCCGTTCGCCTCCGTGGGACCATCTCCGCGGAATGCGTCGCGCTGACATTTAGCAGGTCGCCGATATCGATGTTACGCATCGCCGCAAATGGCAAAGTGGGCTCGCACGTACGCGAGCGCGCGGGCGCGCGCAATTCCCGTTGAAACGCTGTCACGCCTGAGAGAGGACGAGTCGCGCTTCTACGCATCGCGCGCGCGGCGGGCGATAAGGATCGTCGGGGTCCGCACGCGCGTCGGCCTTTAATCTCCTCGTCTCGCGACGCGTGCGAAAAGGCGACGCAGGCGGTGGCGGCGGCACGTCGTGTACGACGGAACGGCGGAAGAGGAGGCGGGACGAGACGGGGAGGATAAAGGAGAAGGATAGATACGGAGAGACAGAGAGCGAGAGAGGGGGAAGGAGAGATACAGAGAGAGAGAGAGAGAGAGAGAGAGAGAGAGGGGCGAAAAATGCCGAAGCGACGGGTCGTGGTCGCGGCAAGAGAGGCAAAACGGCTGGAGAGAACAAGAGAGGCGGTGGGAGCTCAAACCATGCCGCTCGTCTCGTCGAGGCGATGAGCCCTCAGGCTGGTGGCAGCTCCGACGGGCAGCGGGACGGGAGCGAAGAAGGACGAGCGGAGGAGCGAGGTGGCGCGGGAGGCAACGAGCGTGTGGCGCGAACCGCGCGAGAGAGTGAGGTAGGGTGGAGAAAGGCGAGGCGGCCTCGCCGGCCGTCGTCGGCACGCGCGCCACGAAGCGCGCGCTACCCACACTCTCACCGGCCGAGACGTGCGTGTGAACGAGGCTGTACGTGAGGCCGGCCGGTCGTGCTTACCGCGCGCACGCGAGTGAGTCGGGTGAGCGTGAGGCGAGGTGAGGCGGGGCGAGGTGAGGTGAGGTGAGGCGAGATGAGGCGAGGCGAGGCGAGGCGAGGCGAGGCGCGGTGAGGTGAGGTGAGGTGAGGTGAGGTGAGGTGAGGTGAGGCGAGGTGAGGCGAGGCGAGGCGAGGTGAGGCGAGGCGAGGCGAGGAGAAGCGAAGAGAGGCGAGACGAGGCGAGGTGAAGTGAGGCGCGGCGAGGTGAGGTGAGGTGCGGTGTGGTGCGGTGCGGTGCGGTGCGGTGCGGTGAGGCGAGGCGCGTCGGCGAGTCGAGCGACCCTCCGACACGCCGACGCGCGGCGCACCGCGCCGGCTAAAATCAGCGACTGCTATCCGGCCGCACGGAGAGTTTCGAATGAAACGGTCATTATTTCGGGCGCGCATTTTTTGATTGCTCCACGGGTGAAGGGAGACGCCTCGCGCGACGCGAGGACGATTAACGCGCGGTTATGGTAGGTGCTTCGTATAATGACGCGGCGCGCGCGTGCGAAATATCGGGCTGTCTCGCGCCGCCGCGGACTAGATAATTGAATCGTTTAATTAAATGACTCGGCGCATCCGCGTCACGAATTCGGAATGACGCGGGCATGAGGAAGGGGGCTCGCGCTTGGTGCTTCCGCGACGGCGATTATCGATCCCTTATCGCGTTAAACCTTCTCCCTATTTTCAATTTCACGCCTTCGCCGAATGAGAGAGAGAGAGAGAGAGAGAGAGAAAGAGAGAGAGAGAGAGAGAGAGACGCCACGGGTAAATCGAGTAACGAACGCCGCTGGATATTTCCACGCGCTCATGCCGCCGCCGTCGTTATCGTCGTCGTCGTCGTCGTCGTCGTCGTCGTCGTCGGAAAAAGCGCCACGTGTTACGTCGCGTTACATAATCGGTCACACAAGGGCCGAGCTAGTTATCCTACGTCCACCAATTCCGCGTTCGATTCCTTAAATAATACGCTCCGCTCGGTCCATATAATTTCCCGTTCCTCTCTCGCTCCTCATTCGAAAGCGCCGCTTTTTCTTCCGCGCGCGCGTCTCTCACGTGTGCACCCGCCGCCATCCGGCCGCTCGAGTTCCGACATAGTGGCTGGAGAGAAGCGAGCGAGTTTTTAATTTAAAATCCGATTCGCCCGGCACGTTGTTGCCGCTCGCACGCGCGCGCGCGCGCGCGCCCGCGCGCTCCGCTTCGTATCGACCCGGGGCATCGATAAGCAACGCTCCGCTGTGCACCACGAGTCACGCCGAGGGACCGGAATATTTTTCATCGCGTCTCCACCGCGTCGGAATAATGGCACCCAGTCCGCCGTGCCCGGGCTCTCCTAGTTACGCCTTCCAATAAGGTGAGCGCTTCTCTTTTTTGCTCCTTTCTCTCTCTCTCTCTCTCTCTCTCTCTCTCTTTCTCTCTCTCCTCGCCTCATCCCGTTCCACCTCGTCTCGTCTCTTCTCTTCTCGTCCTTTCCCATCGGCGTGGAACGAGCGCGCTTGTTCGCGCGATGCCTCGCACGTGGGGGTCGCGACATTCCGCTGGCGCGGAGGTCGGTCCGTCGGTCCACCGAGATGCTGCAGCAGGAAGGACGCGGAAGGGAGAGGCCGTGATGTGTCCGATTCTCACATCGGGGACTCTGCTTTCATCAGGCGCTCTCTTCTTAACTCGCGTTCGTGCGCGTGCACGGAGGAGCGGAGAGAGTTCCTCTGTGACGCTTCCGTTCGTCGGAGCCACCGGAGCGCGCTCGGCCGACGTCCTTGCCTTGTCGGCCTCTCGAGAAAGGCGCAAAGAGATCAGTGACGGCTTCGTCGAGTCGCGTGCCTGATCGCGTCACCGATGCTCTCTCTCTCTCTCTCTCTCTCTCTCTCTCTCTCTCTCTCTCTCTCTCTCTCTCTCTCTCTCTCTCTCTCTCCCCCCCCTCTCTCTCTCTCCCCCCCCTCTCTCTCTCTCTCTCTCGGACTCGTCTTTCACCGCGCGCGCGCGCTCTCGATAATTATCGATGATTACGTCCGCGCGTTTACTTCCGCGCGCTGATTCTCCCTTTCGGAAAGAAGAACGCCGAGGCCGTTCCAGCTGATTCTCGCGCTTTACCTCCATCCGCCGCGAACGTGGATCCGCTGGAACGTTCGTCGCGGATTGAATCGCAGCAAAATCGCGGCCGGAATCGTTCGCGGATGATCGAAATCGCCGAAAAGCCTGGCGCGCTCGCGCCCGCGCGCGGCTTGATTTACGACGAAACTCTCGGGCACGCCGTAAGCGGCGGCGCCGGCGGCGGCGGCGGCGGCGGCGCGATGACGCAGAAAGTCCATCCCACTGTGGGAATTCCACACAAGGCAACGGCGAGGCTCGCCCGCACGCCGCCAGATAGATAGATGGACGTATATACACTTACATGTATGTGTGTGTGTGTGTGTGTGTGTGTGTGTACATATATGTAACCGCGGCGAGCCGGGCTTGCCTCTGCGAAACGTGCCGCGCGAAACTCGCTTGACCGCGTACCTACCGGGTGTCGCCGAAGTAGCGTAAGGGGGTTTAAGGCAAGTAAAGCGCCGAATC